CGAGAAAAAGCCAATTTTTTTATGTCCTGGTCAATGCTGAGATCCTAGGTCACTGGTTGACCTCCCAGATCAGGTTAATAACCCAAAAGCACGGAACATTGGGTCCTGCTAGGATTTCTACAAGTGAAGTTTGCTGGGACTTGGCTTGCTTCTGACTCCGAATTTGCACTTGCATTGATCAAAGATGATGTATCAAAGCATTTGGGGTAGGACGGGTCACGCCAGATCACCCATTAGGCGTCCTGCCGGCTATATCGAATGTTAACCAGCACTTACAGCCTTGCAACATATTGCATAGGCACTATAACTGATACTTAAGTATGCCTAGTTTTCAAATGCTAAAATGGGTGCTAAATTTCAAACCAACACTTCCTAAAAACCACAGTAAAAAGGTGTAAATTTAAGGAAGTTAACCGAGATCATTTCAAGTAAATGACCTTAACCTGAGTTTCACGTGACCTTGGCACCCAAAACAATTAATGAGACAAAAATTAGATATTATATTTCACATGTTGTCACGTCCCTAATCACGTGAAAAGACTATGGAAACACACAGAAGATGTGCGCTGACTTTCAATTACTATTCTGGCCTGACATGATCTTGAGAAAAATAATCACAGGTTAAAGGTAATTTGGTTCAGGGATTTAAAATTCTCAGACAAGATGCAAAAATGATAAGGGCTATTTAATTTTCCGGGAAGTTGTAAAATTGATTAACTCCAGGGCACCAAAGACTCGTCGCAATCCTTCGCTTTGCCGCGATTTATTGGTGTAAAACAGCGGGCGCGGTCTACTTACCTCTACTTATATGTGTGGTGAGGGCTAATATTCATTTTATCTGTGTTGATGAATGTGCAACAATTTCTATATGAACTGAGACCAGTCCATATGAGTACGTTTTTCTCACGGACAATGACAATATAAAAAACAATGCGAATAAAACCAAACGTTTCGGCAACAACGTGCCTTCGTCAGTGGAGAAAAATAAGTGTATAGGTTTAACATCGATGAGAACTAAATGCGGCACCGTCTCGGTCTGGCCAGCCGGGTTGCCGATAAAATACACAAATGTTTATAAGCTTCCATGATGTGCTTAAAAAACTGCTGAAAATATATCTTTAAAAAAATAAAGATAACTACTTCATCGATGTTATCGAAAGAAAACATGTATGCCTAATTACTCATTTCTTGCCACTGACGGAGGCACTTTTTTGTGCGAAACGTCTGGTTTTATTCGTATTGTTATATTGTTATTGTATTGTCATTCCCTGTGAGAAAAAAGGATAACTCTTCAGTTAGTAACCATAACAGCGAAACGGCTTATTGTAACACAATTCACTGTGTATACGAAACCTACAAGTCCCTAAAATAATTCTATTTACAACTTTTAAAAAGATACAGCTTATACAGCTTGGGCATACAATTTTTTCTGCATTAAGATAATATTAATTTATCTCCACAGAATATGGTAAATTAGTGCTGCTGAAGTTCGCTTTCGAAGCGTCTCCTCCAGACATTCCACAGCTCTCGTGCCATTTTGGATCACGGAACATGGCTGGGCGCAGGACACGTCAGGTCGTCTGCGAGCTTGGACGGACCACGTGACCACCTCCTCCACTCCCCCTCACTCCCGTCCCCTTCCCCAGCAGGGCGTCCGATCTAACCGCGCCCCAGGCAGTCGGCTCGGTCCGACCCTCCCCATGGTCGAGCCACGGCCCGGTGCCGCCTGAGTTTGTGTCGGGTGCAAAACTGGAGCAGTAACTAGCGCCGGAACTAGTAGTCAGCACGACCATCGTCAGATGGCAGGAGTGAATGGAATAAGCGGTTCCAGGTTTCAGAAGGAATGGGGCAGGAAAAAGCGCTGAAAACAATGTTTTGCTGATATAGCCATAAAAAGTTCACTGAATTAGGAGAGCAGCACATCAGTTTAAAGCCCTTCAGATGGTGGTTTTAATAAGCACACAATCATTTCCCAATTCGCCTCCAACGGTGTCACAGGCAAAGAATACGCTGAAATACTAGTGTGTACAGAAGCAACTGCGGGTCCCTGTACCATCATTTTCAAGCCAGCCATCTTATGTTGAATTAAGTAAGACGTTTTTGATTTTTTTGCCGATGTTGAACGGTAGTGATGATTGGCTTAGACGTACCAAGTGAGAAAAAATGGAAAAATAGAACACGTGAATGAAACCAGCAAGTGTGTTGTTAGTTTAAATATTTTTGTCCCACTTATGTACCAAATATTCAAATACTGAGCAAAATAGTGTTAATGGATGCCATTCGTTTTAACAAGTCCTGTTTCGAGCAGACGGAGTGGCACGGTGCATGGGTTACTGCTGATCGCCCTCCCTTCAAGAAGATCAAACAGTAAATCGACCGAATAAGGAAAAAAGGCTAGCGGGAATGTGTCACCCTGAGGCCTGAACCATCAATGAGACTACATAGTTGCCAGTAGCAGTCATGGCTGCAGGCTGTGGTGCCGAGATGGAAGTGGCCCGTTCACTCACATTTTTTATTAAACATCGAGCAAAAAAGTAACTTTTACATGGCATGCTAGAAACACAAACCGTTTAAAAAGTAATTGACCGAATAACATAAAAATCATACCATTTACTGAAAATGCATGCCGCATTGACTATTGGAAGTTTCAATGTTGTGTCTACATCACTTTCTGAGAAACATTGATTTAAAGTTGGGAACGTTTTTTTCTGGGCCACCCGGTATATTAAAGAAGTAATTTTCTCGAGACTGATGAAGGCCAAGCATAACTTCTCAGCTGGACGCTGGTACTTCCATTGACCAAAAAGGTGGCTCTTTCGGGCATGCTGAAAGCTGCTTCATAAGGCTAGATAATAAAAATGCCTACCGTTTAGCCATTACTAAACCATTTCTTTGTGCTACAATGTGTGGTTTTGCGTGGGTTTGAGTGGAGTGTTGCTTTGCTGATTCGTTAAACCTGCTGTGATACTTGAACTAATGAACTATCCATTTCCTATCCAGGGCTGTTGTGCGATGTATTTTTACGTTCTGCGTACAAAGAATGCCTGTCTTTCTCTCATCGTTCGATTAAGTTGAAATCATCACTTTGCTTGTGCTGTTTAGGTTTTCTGAAAGTGTTCGCTGTGCTATGTGTACCACCGCACTTGTTGCCACCTACAAATGACTGTCTGCGACATATGTATTCATCTTTCGCTGGCATGTTCTGATCTGGTACTAGTTATTGGTCTCAAGATAAGGGTTCCAGCCACCAGTAATTTGGGATACAGTGAAACGTGAATATCCATTGTCCCTAGCTGTCAGACCGGCCACCTGGCTGTCAGACTCAGCTGTCAGAGCGACTCAGCTCTCAGCTGTCAGGGCGACTCAGCTCTCAGCTGTCAGGGCGACTCAGCTCTCAGCTGTCAGGGCGACTCAGCTCTCAGCTGTCAGGGCGACTCAGCTCTCAGCTGGCAGACCGAGTGAACGCAACCGCTCTCAGTTGGGGCGAGCGTCGCTACTGGTCGCTGGAACCCTTATCCTGAGAACGTACCTTACGGTAGCTGTTGAGGAAGTGGAAATATCTCAAAGCCTTACCAAGTGCACCTTCTTTACGTGCGGCATGCAAGATGAGGTCGTGGATCGTGGTGTCGCGTGGCACGTGATGAAAGGCCTGAATGCGTTGAGGTGATGCTCTCGAGGCAATACGAACCGCATTCATTTCCGTTCATCCTGTGTTTTTCTGCCGCTATAGCTTAGCTGTGGTGTTCATCAATTATGCTAATTTTATCGTCTATTTCGCCTTTCTTCATATTATCATCCTTGCCCCATGCTTCTTGTTCCTGTGCTGCGACTCTAATCATGTGCTGGTGCAATTAGAGACGATGATCTCGTCATGGGTGATTCCGACCGTGACTGGTTGGATATACTGCATGATACCGTGGACTGGACAGGTCGTGGGGAAGTATAAACCTACGCACAGTTTTTGCACTTTTTGCATCATACTAATATATTCGTGACCTCGCCTTAGGTGTTAACTAATGTAGGGGTTTTGTGAGACATGAGCGTACTGTATGGAAATGTATCGGCCGAGCCCGTAGAGGGATTTGTATCTGTAGAAATTCGTTTCCGGTTTTAAACGCACAGTTACTGGACATATAGTAACTACATGATAGTTGTCTTAGTGCTGTGTTAGGTAGTGAAATTAGGACCATTAGCACTGTAGTGTAGGTACTGCATTCCCTAGCTAAGCCCTGCTGGTACCAGTGTTGTACTGTCTGGATTGTGGGAGTGCCAAACCGCAAGTAAGTGCCAAATACAAATACGAATTGCCGATTGTGGTGTTTGTTTGGACAGGTTTTGCAGTTGCTAACATTGCACTCATCTCAAACGGTCTCCTTATCTGTTTTGTTTTGTGCTACCAAGGTCGCCTTCTTTTTTACGTTGCTTATTTCCCTGTCATCCGTGACGTGTCATGTTATTCCCTGTCCTGTCCTGTCAATGTCCAGCTTTGTGTTAACCAGCCCTGTCTTTCCCTGCCCATCTTTTCTCTGTTCTTCCTCTACGCCGACGTACTATGTTCTGTTCTGCCCGTTATGTCCTCCCTTGTTCAGTTAATTTATTTTTAGCCCCCATCCCGTCCTCGCCACCATAAGCTCTACTAACTCGTCTTCAGGTCAATTCGTCTGCGGTGCCCGTTCGGCATGGACCTATCGGTCGCTGCGTTCAGATAGTCCTCTCTTTCCCTCGCTCTCAGTTGTGCTACGTAGATACATTTCTCCGCTGGCTGCCCTCCCCCTTCCGGTATGCAATGTAAGATGGCTTGCTCTCCTGTGATTTCCGTCAGACTGTAGTATTACGTAGTTCTGTAACATCGATGTCCGCCTGACTGATCTGTATGTATGTCCCGCCCTCTCTCAGGTCCCGCGCTCTGTGCCTCGTCCCGTAGTGTGCCTCAGTCGGTGTCTCGTGCTGTGCCTCGTACTGCCTCCCCCGGCTGACCGGCTGTGTCGGCTGGTTCGCAGGCGGCGCCGGCCTGGAGCGAGGCGCCGTCGCCGGTGCCGGCCGCCGGCCGCCTGAAGGGGTGCGCCTCGTGTCCCGGCTGCCTGACCTGTGTGCCCGGCTCGGCGCGCCCCGTCAGTCGCCGCGACTATGTGTAGGCCGCCGCCCGCATGGTCGGCCGACCGCCGCTCGACCCTCCCGACGACCCGCGCCCCTCTGCATTCTGTAGCGCCGCCTGCTGCTGCACGAACGGTTAGTGTCCGCCGCTGTAACGGACCGCGTTCCCACACAGCTCTCCTGCTTCTCCACTGGGTCGGCGCGGAGCTCACGGCGACACGCAGCGCGCACGAATGACGTGCGAGCGTTTGCGACTCGGTAGCGGCGCGTCCGGAATCTGCGGAACCGCTGAACCGCCGTCCGTGCGGGCGGCTGGCCCCGTGTCGGACCTGTCCTGCCGTCTCCGGCCGACTTTCGCTGGTGCACGCTGCACGGCCGGCGGGGTGTCCGGCCCGTGCCGTGCTGAAAGTGAGAGCGGGCGAGCCGGCCAACGGCTGCCGATCGGCAGATCGGGAGGGGTCGACAGGACCGGGCGCACCTGCGCCGTCCAACAGGAATGACGGCGCGGCTCTCACCGGCGGGCGGCCGGCTCTGCGGCGCGCTGCTGCTGCCGGCCGGGCTGCCCGGCTGCGGAGGGCGGGTAGGGCGCGCCCCTCGCAGGGTTGGTCAGAGGGCCGGTATGCGTGCCGTGCAGCGTGACAACCGGTCTGGTGAGATCTCCGCGGCGTGTTTGAGCATATGCACGACGCGCGCGCCTCGGCTGCACACCTGACGTAACTGACCGCGCAGGACACCCGCGTCACCGTCCGCGCCGCGGCGTCTGGGCAAGGAGGCTGGCGGGGAGCGGGACCCGTTAGACGCTGTACCTCTGACGGAGTGCCGGCGACGGAGGGCCTGTGGCTCAGCTCAGGGTAGTACCGAAATGGTAGAGGATGATGGGTGGTTGGTGGAGTGGACAGCGCGGCAGACTGGCGTGAAGTGGCGGAAACATCGGGAGTGGGTCGATAGGGTGGATAGATAGTTGCGTCGCTGAACGTTTCGAGTCAGGTAGGCTAAGGTGTGCTGTTTCGACGAACGACTCCCGTTACCCAGCGGTGACATGTAGCGCTCGGCTGCCGCCCAGCTTCCAGTGAAATTGTCCGTCCGCCACTCGGCTCTCAGTGTTGCTTCTGCCTCCCCTACTTTACACTCGCGTCTCACGTGGTAATGCTCGTATCTCTGCTTTCTACATATTCCTACGGTATCCGTGTCCACACTCAGGCTTTTTACTTCATGTTTTGCCTCGCTTACTCCCTCTCAGGACTAGATCGGCTTTTTATGCTTTAGGCTCCGATTCTTCAGTAGTAGGTACTTAAATCACGTGCAATATAGGGACGAGCTAACGGATTCGCAGGATCTGATCAGGGGCTGTAATAGGGTTGGCGGATGTGTCATGAAAATCCTGTGCTTTGTTCAAGCCTTGGATTTTCACGTAGTCGTGTATAGTACTTCAGCGAAATGTGATAATCGAGCTTATATTTTTGTCGGCTGCGGTTTTAGAACAAAGTATTGCGGGAGGAGGTCTCTGTACGAACACAGTGCAAAGCTGACGGAGTTGAATACATACACGCACGAACGTTCGAGTTTCTTGAGTATTGCAGCATCTCTGAGGTTTGCATCCTGCTGGCGGATGGTGTTGTGCAACTCATAAATACGGCCGCGCACGGACGTCGCTGTGGTCACTATGTGGTGGATGGACGGGCCATCGTCCGCGGATCGGAGGCATTTTCTTTGGGTCACGACTGCGGCCGCGCGCCGGGGATGGCTCATGACAGAAACGCGATCCTCAGGTCTGTGTAACTCATCAGCAATGCTGGGGAGAAACTCTGGCTGACATCCGCTATCTGCGCCCGTAAATGGCATGACGGGTTTGCCCCGGGGCTTTTGCCGTTAGAAACTCGACGCTTGTTGAGGGATTAGTCCGTCCAACGATTTACGTTCGTACCTCGAGACGCGGTAATCAAATTCCAATATGATCTTATAGACGAAATAGTCGTGTAGCTCAGGGAGAGTTGAAAGCGACAGTTAGTCGTTTGAAAGTAAACAAACCGGTGCATTAAAGAATGCTAACCTGCTAAGCTGTCCGCTTTTCTATGTTGAATCGTCGGACATGGCTGAGGCGAAACTGGACAAACTACAGGCTTGTTTTTAATGGGTTAACCCTCGCCCGTAAACGGCGATCTGCCACCTTCGCCCATGCAGGGGGGGGGGTTGGTGCGACCCCCCCCCTTGGCGTTTGAAAACGGAGCGTCGTAGAGCTTAGCGGAAAAGACCAACGGATTGCTCTCGCCGAGATCTCGCGATTGGTGGTATATTTTTTGGTCCTAGGTCAACATTTGACCTACTTTTGACCGGTCAAAGGTCAAATTTTCCGGAAAAATAGACTTTTTCAACTTTCCGCGGCGATTGCGGCAAAACGGTAGGAGATATCGAATTCAAACCTTCACTATCGTGTTCCTTGATCAATTATCTATCGTTTGGTATGTATTTCGTTTCCCTAGCTCTAAAAATGGCGCGTTGGGAGCGCCGGAAGTCGGCAAGGTCACAGTCGGCGGCAGAAATTCGAAAAATCAAAATTTAAATTTTTGAAATATGATTGTATTTTTGGATTTGGGAGGTCCATTTGCTCCCTATAGAAGCTAATATTGCTGCATATTCCCATTGAGGTGACAAGAATTAGCAAAATAGTGGTTCGGGCGCTTTTCAAAAATAGTACCGGACGCTGTTCCTCTTGTGACGTCATAGCTCCGTGACATGACCTGACCCGGTCAAGTTTCTTATACCATATGATAGCCAATACTTGCCCCAACATGCATGGGAAGTTTCATCACGATCCATCAACCGATGTCCGTACCACCGGCAGGAAACTTCGGGCGTTGGCACTCAGTTTGTGAAAATCCGGCCGGAGGCTGTTCCCTTTGTGACGTCATAACTCCGTGACCTGACATGACCCGGTCAATTTTTTTTATCAAAAGATGCGCAAGGCTTGCCCCATAAGGTACCCAAAATTTGGCGGCGCTGCGCGCCGCCGTTTTTGCACTATTTCCGAAAAACCTCAGGGGGGTTGCACCAACCCCCCCCCCCTACATGGGCGAGGGTTAAGTGACGTGATGCAGATGAGGCCCGATCATCCAAACCCCACTGCGGACGGGTCAAATGTTTTTGCTGATGCGTCGTTTCATAAATATCCCCAACATCCTCAGGAATTCTCACCAATTAAAAAAAAATCGTCCTACTTCTTAGGCTCAACGAGCATAACGAGCACTCGCATGACATTCGCCTCACGCCTGATGAGAGATCTCTGCGCTAACCCGCTTTGAACTGCGCTTGATGACCGACTTTTCCCCAAATTGATTACATTTACCATTGAATGATCGTGTCAACCGTCCCCAGTCCGACGATCCTTTGCTCATCTTTATGCTCAAGTGTGTTTCCACGTTTTGTGTATGAAAATGTGCATAATGCTCTGCAGATTTGTCAGCTTTATGTTACCAGCCAAAAACCATGGCCGAATAGAAAACGGCTGCTTTTAAGATTTCCATTTACCCGATCTGAATTATTTCATTATGGTCGATGTTCCTGACCTTGGCAATACGATACCTATCTATTCACACTTGTACTACTTTTGTCATAGATATTGTTCAGCTGTCCATTAAATTAATTTGCTCCCCTCGTACGCATCATGTTCTGGTGCATCGTCCTGTGCGGCGATTCATTAGGTCTCTTTCCATTCCCTTTTGAACAGAGAACATGACTTTCATCTATTTATTTCAAACACCTCTTCATACAGCACATGTAAACATGTTTAAATAGGCACATAACAATAACAATTCCGGTACCATACAGCAACAACAAACAACACTTGTTAATGGCCCTGCAGGCTTGCCACACTGGAATACAAAATGCTTGGCAAAATGTCCAGGGTACGAACAATTAACAATATCTGACGCTTACATCAGACCGGTACAATAGACGAAGTCATGACTCGTGATACCACCACGGGCCTGTGACATGATTCATCAGTTGGCTGGGACCATTATTGGTCTACCGCATCCCAGTTAAGTGCTGAGTCTTTTCTACTGCTCCTCTGCTTCATCATCCCCCTGCTGGTCGCCCCTAAACCGCCTCCGGCGCCGGAACGACGGCCCACCTCGACGGAACGGGCGTCGGCGACCGGACGGCGGCTGCGAGCGCGTGCGGCTAGCGCTCTGGGTACCCGCCTCCTCGTCTTCCTCCTCCGCCTCCGGCTCCTCCTTCTTCAGCGCGGCCGGCTTCTTCCTGCGGATCAGCTTCTTGCGCCGGATACGGATGGTCCTGGGCGTGGTCTGTCCGATGACGGCGGTGCCGGTGGACTGAGCCGCGACTTCGCCGCTCTTTTCGGGAGCCTCGGTGGTGGTAAAGTACCTCCGCCGGCCCTGGTAGCGCCGCTGGCCGCGGGCCCGCACACCCTTACGCTGGCCCCAGCGCTGACCTCGCTGGGAGACCCGCGGCGTGGTGCTCACTGTAGCCGGGGTTGTCTCGGGCGTCGGCGCCTCGGTGGGTTCCACCTCCGGCCGGCTGGTGGGGTTAGTTTCCTCAGCTTCAGTGGAAAGTGGCTCTACCGGGGTGTCAGTGTTGGTGGTAGGTCTCAGCTGGGCAGCGTTAGTGAACGGCTTCCGCGGCTTCACAGGCTGCGGCTTGAATCCGACTTTGAAAACGGGGGTGTTGGTTTCCTTCTTGCTGAACGGCGTCCGTGCAGCGCTGGGCCTGAACCTGCGCCGACTGCCGGGCCTCCTGCCGCCGACCGGCCGGCGGACGTTGAACGGACTGGCGGTAGGGGAAGGTGTGACAGGGGTGGCAGACGTCGCCTCAGCAGAGGATGTCTCTGTCACCGCCGGAACCTCGTCTGTGACGGTTGCCTGCAGAGTGATGCTGGGGAAGGACGTGCTCACTGCTCCCTGAGGCTGACTGGCGGGGGTCAGGCTGGGAGAGAAGCCGCCCTCCCACTCGTTTTTGCTGTCCAGAGAGTTGTCCGAGCTGCTGATCACCGGGATGGTTGCTGCTAGCTCGAGACTGGCTGGAGACGTGGTGGTCGTGGCCTGGGACAGGGAGATCGTCGGCGTCGGAGAGGGTTTCGTCGCAGGCGCTGGTGAGTTGGTGACGGTGGTGGCGACCGCTCCAACGTTAGCCTCGTTCTCAGAAGATGAGTTGTCCTCGGAGCTGAAGACGGTGTTGGACTGGTCGCCTCCGCGGGTCACCGACAGGGTGCCCTTATCGTTGTCCGTGGCGGCGGAGAAGCTCCAGCTGATGGGACGGTGCGCGAACCGCCAGCCGGTGGACGTCGTCGCCCGGAAGGCGGTGGGAGTCGGACGGGGGCGGCTGAACGTTGAAGACGTCGTCAGCGGACGGCTGAAGACCGTGGGGCTCGGCTGTGAGCGGCTGAATGCTGCGGGAGTGGGACTGGACGGACTAAAGGAGAGCGTCGGCTGCACGAAACTGGTCGTTGTGGTTGACTGCGGGCTCCTGAGAGTGGTTGACGTCGGCTGGGGACTGAACGTCGCTGGGGGCAGGCTGCTGACGGGGACGAACGATGACCGTGTCGACGTTGCCAGTGCGATCTGCAGCGTCCTGGTCGGTGAGATGGTGAACGTGCTGCCTCGGAACACCCTGGTGGTGGCCGCAGAGCTGCCGCTCGGTGAAGTGGTGGCGGAGGTGACTCCCACCGACACGGTGGAGGTGATTGATGTGACCCGGAGTGGCAGCGCCTGCGTCGTGGTGGGGCTCAGTACTGTGCGGGTGGTCGCCGTCGAGGACACGCCAACGATAGAGGCCGCCGTGGCAGAGGCCGGCCCGCGGCGACGGGCCTGCTCACGCGCCTTCATACGTGCAGAGAGGTTGGCCAGGGCGCTGCTGACAGGGCCGCTGAGACCTGTCGGAAGCGTTGTGGATGCGGGGCTGCTGGTGGGAACACGAACGACGTTCGGGTTACGTGGCTGTATGTTTGCGTTGATGACAGGCCTTCGTCTTCCAGAAAACTTTACCCTCTCGGAAGAGGTGGTCTGGTTTGGTTTCCTGAGGATGGCTCGCCCCCGGCCGGGTCTCCTGACTTCGTTTTTGCTCTCTGACTTCTTCTCTTCCTCCTCTTCCGCTGTGGCCACCACGCCGCTGGTAACACTGCTAGACGCGCTGATGTCGGCATCGTCTTCTTCGTCCGCTGCTCTGTCGTCTTCAGCCACGGAGAGCAGCACCTGAGCAACGGTGGGTGCTCCAGACGATCCGGAGCTGTAGAGGTCTAGCAAGCCGGCATCGGAGGATGGCTGAGAGCCGCCACCGCCGCGGCCCGTGTTGATGTGGATGGGCGGGTTGATGACGCCGCTAGCGGCAGCGGCGCGCGGTGGCGGCAGGTAGAGGCCGCTGTTGGCGTTGGTGTCACTCAGAGCAGCGCTGACGTCGATCGGCAGACGGCCCACCGGCTGAGGAGCGCCGACCGGCCGTGGCTGCGACAGTGACTGGCCGGCAAAACCAGAGCTGCCGGAGACCGGCCGCGCGTCGGATAGAACATTTCCAGTGAGGCCAATGGGACTGGGAACTGGTCTGG